TATGAGTCGGGTCCAACTCCACGGCTGTGGGTTTGGTTTGGTCCCTTTATTTACAGTGTCTCAGGGGATAGGGAGTTGGCTGAATTTGTCTCAATACCTTTAAGACCCAGAATAGGTCCTGTCATATAGAAGGCTTAATATGAAGTGTGTCCTGGTGTAAGATGGTGTCGTAGTTTCCCCAGGCGACCATAACAAAATACCACAAAGCGGATGATTTTAAAGAACTGAAATGTCTCATAGTTCTGAAGGCAAGAATTCTAAGTCAGAGCCATATGGATTCCTTGTTAGGGTTCTGAGAGAGCAACTCTCTATGTCTGCCCTCTGGCTTCTAGTGGCTACCAGCAACCCTTGGTGTCCCTTTGCTGCTTATAGATGTATCTTCACATGATGTCTTCCCTTTGTGTGTTTGACTGTTTCCATGTCTGTATTCTTTTATAAAATGGCACTCAAGAGGTTAGTACTGAAACCTATTCTACTCAAGTATGACCTCATTTAACTGATAACAAAAGACAAGCTTCATTTCCTCAAACAAGGTCACATTCATAGGTACCAAAAACCAACCTCACTGCCTTCAAGTCAGATCCGACTCATAGCGACCCCTCCTGGGGTTTCTGAGGCAGTATCACTATGGAAGTAGATTGCCCAATCTTCCTTCTGAGGAGTGGCTGGTGGATTTGAACCAGCAGCTTTCTGGTTAGCAGTTGAATGCCTTAGGCACTGCACCTCCAGAACTCCCATTCATAAGTACAGGGATTAGGATATCAACATATCTTTTTGGGAGACACAATTAAATCTATAATAGGTGGTAAGGTTGATTGATCAAGGGAAATTTCTACTTATAGAAATTTCTAATATGCTTATATGGTTATTTTATTTATTTATTTTTCCTGTTTTCTTCCCCACTACTCACTTCCACATCCTCCCTGGAATTTCCAATTTCCTTTTCTTCCTTTGATTCACATAAGAAAATTTAAATTATCAGCAAAAATGACTAGATGTTTATGTGAATTTTGATTATAAATTATATATATATAAACAACTAGTTGTTATTGAGTCAATTTTGACTCATAGTGATCCCCTTTGTGTCAGAGTGGAACTGTACTCTATAAAGTTTTTATGGCTATAATCTTTCAGAAGCAGATTGCCAAGCCTTTCTTCCAAGGTGCTATTGGGTGAGTTCAAACCTCCAATCTTTCAGTTAGCCCCTGTGTACTTAATCTCCTGCGGCTTAACATCATATCATACCTGTCACAAATGCAAAGATTGGCTTTAATCTTTCTACTGAACTTTGACTTCTGCATATGCTGGACATTTTTTTTTTTTTTTTTTTGTCTCTTTCTTCTTTTGTCTCTTTTTTGCCCCCTTTCTCCTGGTTACAACATCCTGTTTCTTTCTTGGTGATTGCCTCTCTGCCATTGGATGCAGTTTTGGTGGCACTGAGTTCAAGGTAGCTCACCCTCCCTTAGCCTGGGATGATGTAACCATTGGTCACCACTAGGTGATGTCTAGGATCAGGGAGGGGAAGTTTTACTTTTTAATTTTTCACAATGAAAAACTATTACTTTTGGTATTTGAAACTTAAAATTTAAGGGAAAAAAAAATTAATTGCCAAAAAGATTTGGCTAGATGCAGTTCCTTTTCCTGTTAAACCCATTTTAGCAGCAGCCACAGCCCTGGTCTTCTCAAGTACGTGAAGCCCCAGGGAATGGAGACAGCCGGCATCTCACTCCTGGAGTTGCCAGAAATCCCTTAAAAATGATTAAACAGATGTCTTTCCTTGGGTTAGAGCAGATATAAATCATAACTGCCTGCTTTCAATTCTTAGGCTTTGTACAAAAAATCAATCATTTTCCAGTTTGTTTCTCAAATGTTTCTTTAAATCTTCAGAATCATAATAGCAATAACCATTACAATATGCAAGAAAAGGTAAACACATCTGCACAGGTAGTTGTATTTCATCCCTGGGTACAAACTTTCTGTGTGAAAGTGGAGTTAAACCAGTCATCTTTGCCAAAGGCCCGTTGACCAGAGGTCAGGCCTCCAGGGCCCAGTGTGAAGAATGAAATAGTTTCTGAGCTTAAAACCAGAGGTTTAAACAGCATAAAGATTGACACAGCTATGGCCCTTATGTCATCAGCAGTGAAAGGAGGGGTCTTGTTATTCACAAGCAGAAATGAAGAGAATGGTGGCTTTTCTATGGTAAATCAGGGCTCAAGTCAAGCAGCTTGTCATAGGATTTCAGTTGTTGGTTTCTGACCTTATATATCATGTTTTGGGTGGCATGAGAAAAGATGACTTAGGGACTGCACATAAATGAATAATTAAGTGAAAACTCTTAGGATTTCCCCAAGAATCAGTTCAAATTCACATTAGCTGCCTCATATGCATGTGAAAGCTGGACAATGAGTAAGGAAGACCACAAAAGAATTGATCATTTGAATTATGGTATTAGTGAAGAATATTGCATGTGGATAATGTTACTGAACAGGTTTCAGTGGAGCTTCCAGATTCAGATAGACTAGGAAGAAAGGTGTGGTGATCTTGCAAGAGTTACAACCAGAATGCTCCTTAGAAGCGAGAAGAGCCAGACTTTGTCTCTTGTACTTTGGTCATGTTATCAGGGGGAACCAGTTCCTGGAGAAGGATATCATGTTTGGTAAAGCAGAGGATCAGTGAAAAAGAAGGAAAAGAAGAAGCCCCTCAATGAGATGGATTAACACAGTAGCTCAAGCATAGCAATGATCGTGAGGATGGTGCAGGACCGTACAGTGTTTTGTTCAGTTATCCTTAGGGTCACTATGAGTTGGAATCAACTCAATGGCACCTATCAACAACTCTTGGGTGGAACAGATATTGAATCTAAGAGTTTCCAAGAATCTGGTTTATACAACTTTCCAAGTAGAGAGTATTTTTAATGATGATATAAGCCCTTACACCAGAGGAGATCACTGATGTTTAGTCATTGATGCCATCAGGCGAGAAAGAGCAGAGGGATCAGGAAGCAATGTCCCTTGGTAGAAAGACTGTGGGGTTTCAGGACAGAGACCCAGGCTTGAATACCATTAGCTGGGGAAACTTGGCCAAGTCTCCTTGTGTCTATGAAGTTACATGGTCTCATCTGTGATATGGGAAAACTATCTACCTGGTGATGTCTTGGTGAGCACCTGGTGCATCCTG